AATCATGATTTAAATTTAAAAAATCATGATTTAAATTTAAAAAATCGATTTTTTTTATTTTTATGAAAAAAATCAAAAAAATCACCAACCCTGATTGTGTTTGTGATGTCTACCTGTGTTTCAGCCGTGGTTCCATTGTGACTTTTCGCTTTCCTTAATTAACTTTAAGTGTGTGCCCTTTGCTGTTTCTGTCATGTACCATTCTTGAATCATTGATTAGTTTATCAGTGCTGGGTAGATGATACTTAATTTGTCACCAAAAAAAAAGCAACTCATAAACATATTCGCCCCGAAAATTCTCTCTCCAACCAACCTTCAACTTCAACTCTCCAGCTCAACACTTCAGTTTGAAACAAATCTCATACATTCTACCTATATATGCAAAACAATGAGTTTGTATACAACTGCCCTCACAAAGTGGTTATTCATGACTGTTGCAAAGACAGTTTACATGACTTGGAGATGGGAGCTCCACGATTGTCAAATTACCAGAGAGCAGAAGAGGACAAGCAATTTTGTGATAAGTAATTCTTTGACGGACTTGACAAAATTGCTTTCCCATTACGACAGACAGAATACAGACAAACTCTATCTTGACTAACACTTTCAAAGCCTTAGAGCCTTTGTAGAGAGTACCAAAGAAAACGGAAAGAGTCACACATTGTCCCAGACGACTTTAGAGAGATTCAAAAAGAGCAACTTGTTGTTGTATGTCGAAAGGATCAATGTGATGCTTGAAAAGTAGGAGAAAGAATCTTACAAAATGCTTGCTCAAAACTCAGAGGATGGGATCAGATTATGTCAGTGTGCATGGACTAGGAAGCGAATTTGTTAATACGACGTTGAACGCATCTGCTGTACTATATCATAACAGGCAGGGTTTTTTTTTGCTATGAATGACGATGGGTCAATTGACCCACTCGGGCCAAAATCAATGGGTCATCTTGTGAGTGAAGGATCAAGTTTGTAGGCAAGATGCATGGAGAGTTGTCCTCGATTGTTTTTGTATTATTTAAAGGACACCTATGTAAGTGTTTTATGGAGAAATAGTGGATTAATGACTTACGAACAATGCCTGCTTGTGATGCTTGAAATTCCCATCTCTGCCCTTCCTTTGACTAGCAATGACAATGAAAAATTAAATTTTGATCCAAATTTAGACCTGCATGTGAGCCTCAACCAGATTGTCTGAAAATTT